CTGCGCGCGGGGAAACTGAGGCACGGGGACCAGCAACCCCCTCCCTGCCTACACGGAGGCCCATCCCTCCCCCGTCGGACCTGGGGACAATAACTGAGCCGTGCTGGGAGCCTCCGGGCTCGGGTGGGGGTCTCAGCTCTTCCCTGGCCGGGGGCGGGGGAGGGGGTCTAGGATGACTCAACGCCTCTCTGCCTCAGTTTACTTATCTGTGAAATAGGGCTAGCAGCTCTGGTTTTTGCAAGATAGCATGTTGCACAAGGGACTCTTGTTTTTAAGGGGAGACCCGCCAGGCTCAGGGGTGGCTCGCTTCTGCCTGTTTCTGGATACAATCGAGCCGGATCCCCGCCTCCACCCGGCCAAGCTCGCGCGTCCACGAGGGTCTCAGCCCCTCTCGGTGGGGGGAGCCGCGCTCTCCATACCCCGCCGGAGCGCCTCGCCGCCTTCCGATTGGCCCAGCGGATCCCAGGGCCTCCTGCCATTGGTTGCCGGTTCCCCAAACCCTATTGGCCAGGTCCTATTGTGACGTCACGGACCCATGTGGGAGCGCCGCGGGCGGATTGGCTGGCGCTCGCAGCCAACCACCGCGGAGAAAGGAATTTCCACAGTAGCTGGGGCGGTGAGGCTGATTTAAGGTGGTCTGAGCAACCCGGGGTCCCAGCGATGCTTCTCGGCTTTTTCCTTTAAAAAAAAAAAAAACAAAACAACCACATCCACATCATAAAAAGCCAGCCAGGAACCACCGGGGCTGAGCCCTTCTGTGCAGTGGGAGGGGAGAGATTGGAAGCTAAGCCCCTTCCCCCATTTGGCAGCGTCTTCCTGGATCTTGCAGATGGGGAAACTGAGCCCCAGGGAGGTGGGGCCTGAAGCCCCCCCGATGGCAAAGGAGTTGGCTGGGGAAATGAGAAGGTTGTGCCAGGCGGCGCAGACTGTCACTCTCGCCTGGCCTGGCCAGTCCTTTCCCTGCCTCCTGTTCTGGCCGGATGTGCCATTTTAGCGAGTTATGGAGCCACAGGCTGCCTGGGGGTCCCCCCATCTCTCAGATTGCTCTCAGCGGAGCCTCCCCAAATTCTGCCCCCAAAACTGGGGATGCTGCTGCTCAGAACAAAACATCTCTTCCTTCCTGGCAGGTCACACACACCATCTCTCGCTGTGTGTGTGTGTGTGTGTGTGTGTGTGTGTGTGTGTGGTCTGTGGCCTCTCAGGCAATCCACAAATCTGTATTTACCCTCCCCTGTGGAGTGTGCCTGGCTGGGACATCTAAAGACTGCTGGGGAAAGGAAAGGCCCCCTCCTCCAGGAAGCCTCCTCTGGACTCCCTCTGCAGAGGCCCCGTTCCCACTGTGGGGACCTCCCGCCCTGGGCGCTCCCTCTGTCCTGGCACTGACTGTGTGGGCCTGGGGGTGTGTGCTCTGCCCTGTCCCCCCGCCCCCCACCCCTAGCTCTCCCTGCAAGGCCTGAGGCTGGCTGAGGGCCCAGCATCTTCCAGCAAAAGGAGGTGGCTATAGAATAAATGCTCACTTAGCCACCAACATTGGGCTGAGGGAGACATGGGGCAGGGGGAGATGCCTTTTGGAGGAGACGTTGGGACTTTGGAGGAGATGCAGGGAAGACGTGCCTTTTTGCTGGGCCCTGAAGGCGTGGACTTCCTCCAGGCAGAAATGCAGTGGGAGGGAATTCCAGGAAGAGATAACAACGGAAGCAGAGACCCAGAGGTGGGAGAGAACACAGATTAGGTAATCTGGCTGGTGTGGCTGGAGCACAGCATTTGAACCAGTGGAGGGAGGCAAAGCTGGGCGGGGCCGGCTGGTGCAGGGCCTCTGATGCTAGCCTGAAGATCTGGGAATTTGTCCCAAGGGCAATCGGGAGCCATGGGAGAGTTTTAAGTGAGGGAGGGCCAGGCTCAAAGGGAAGGTGATAAAAGTGAAGGCTGCTCAGAGTGGGGAGGTGGCTTGAAGTCCAGATGGGAGGTGATTAAGGGTTGGTGCGGGCGGGGGCTGTGGGGATGGGGAGGAGGGTTGCATGGCAGTTGAGGGGGAGCGAGGAGGCCCGGCTGGTGCTCTGTCTCTGGGGACCAGGGTGGACTGTGGGGCCTGACAGGTCTGGGGGAAGATGCCACGTCTAGTGGCCTGGGGGGCATCCAGGGGAGATGCTAGAGGTGGCTGCATCCACAGGGCTGGAGCCAGAGTTTGCAGTCGCCCTCATGAAGGTGGTGACTGAGGCCTGGAAAAGGATGTGGTGGCTTGGAGCCCAAGCAGCCAGAAGTGCGGGCAGCCCGAGGCCAGCAGGCTAAAGGGAAAGAGGAAAAGACAGGAATCAGGGCCACGGGCGAGGAGAGCATGCAGAAGGCGGGGTGGGGAGGCTGCTCCAGGTGGGGCTGCGGGATGAGGGTCCAGGCGGGGCCCTTGACTTTGAGGAGGTGGAGGGCTTTTGGCAAGAGAAGGCCCAAGAGGAGATTGGGGTGGGAAGGAGTAGAGGTGAGGAAGGGGGCGCCAGGATTTGGACTAGCGGCCCAGGGAGGGGAGGTGCTGCCTTCGCAGGGGACGCAAGACACCTCCTGGAAAAGTTCTGGAATTAGGACTTCACGGACGCCCCCAGAACCCGGAATCACGAGCCCCCGGCATTGTGGAATTGTGGTCCTCCCCGTTTCTTAGAATTTCCCAGCAGGAGTGTGGCCAGGGATCTCTGGCTTTGGCTGGATCGGCTGTTTCTGCTCCTCACTGACTGCCTGTGCATTTATCGAGCACCTACTGTGTGCCAAGCTCTGCACGGACCAAGACAGGCTCTGTCCACACAGCCTAGTACTAGGGGGGACAATGCATAGAATAACCCACAAAGAAACATAAACATATCAAAACAAATCACAAACCAAAAAAAAAAACCTCTGATAGGAGCTAAAAAGAGAGAGAAGAGTAGTTGAGAATAACAGTATTTATTTAGAGATTTTATTTATTTATTTTCTCCCCCCAAAGCCCCAGTAGATGGTTGTATGCCATAGCTGCACATCCTTCTAGTTGCTGTATGTGGGACTCGGCCTCAGGATGGACGGAGAAGCGGTGCCTCGGTGCGCACCCGGGATCCGAACCCCGGGCCACCAGCATCGGAGCGCACACACTTAACCACCAAGCCATGAGGCCGGCCCACAGTATTTATTTAGAATAACAGCGTGGGATGGGTGGACGCTGCTTAATGGGTGGCTGGGAGGGGCCTTTCTGAGAAGGTGACGTTTGAGCTGAGACCTGAATGGTGGGAAGCAAGGGAACAGCATTCCAGGTGGAGGGAACAGTCAGTGCAAAGGCCCTGAGGCAGGCCCCTGTCTGTTCTGTTGGAGGAACAGCGAGGAGGCCAATGTGGCTGGAACAGAGGGAGTGAGGGTGAAAGGGAACAGAGTTGGGATCAGAGATGGGAGGGCCAGGAGGGGGTTTGTGCGGGGCCTTGTGGGAAGAGGGAGAAGTTTGGATTTTATTTTGATGGCAATAGGGAGCTATTGAATGCTCCTTCCAACACACTCACACACACACACACACACACACACACACACACACACACACATTATCCCCAGGATCTCTCTTCCCCTCCCTTCCGGGGCTGCGCATCTTTATCTTTCAGGTCTCATCTCCTACATTAACCTCCTGAGAGAGGCCTCTCCCAGATGCCCCAGATAAGGAGGTTCCCTCCTGCTGATCTCCACCACTGCTCCCTAACACAGATAATTCCATCACTGCCAAGCTGTGATCTTACCTTGTCCCTTGAACCCAGAGAAGGCAGGAGTCTGTCCTCCTTCATCCACCCTTGCATTTCTGGTGCCTGGAAGGCAGTCCATGCTCGAGAAGTAGCCCTTGGCTGGAAACGATGCTCTAAGTTTGATAAGGGCTTGTGTGTGCTTTTGTTCGCTCACCCACTGACCCGGGTGCAAACATTAACATGGGGCAAGGGCTTTTCCCTTGTTGTTCCCCGCTGAGCCCCAGTGCCTAGAGCAGTGGCTGGGCCATGGTAGGCACTCAAGGGGTGTTTGTTGATTGACTTAATAATTGACTCTGAGGTTTCTTGTATGCAAGATGGGAACAAGGACGTGGTACCTCTGGGGTGAGTGTGAGGGATGCTCACTGGATGTCTGTGGTGGGAGAAGGAGCCTCTGTCTGATGGCAGAGATTCCGTTCCCGTCCTCGCTGGGACCCCATAGTCTGAGAGGGGAGGCAGCCCCGTCTGCAGGTGGTGGCCACCGGAACACCAGCTCCCACCTCTGGGGCTGACCCTGTGCCAGGCCAGGCAGAGGGCTGTTCCAGTCTCATGCCATTTAAAAAGAGCGCCTGTCTCTGCCACTTGACAGATGAGAATCCTGGGGGGGCCCGGGCCTGGCTCTGCCTCCCAGCTGGGTCCTCCCGGGGCGTTTGCACACGCTCTTCCCACCCCTGGCAGGCGCCTGGCCAGCCCGCTTCCTCCTCACCCGCAGTCTTAGCCCACTTGCCCAGCAAGGCCCCCAAAGCGCCCCCTCCCCACCGGGCTGCCTAGGTATTTGTTTATCTGTTTCTTGTTTTTC